GAAAAAAGTGAAAATAAGACTGCATCTCTCATTTCACCACGAGGAACATCACCAAAGGAAAGGAGAGAAATATCAGCAATTTGAGAGAAGTTCAGAGAGACTTTTTAAAAAAATTTTATTTATTTATTTGACAGAGAGAGACACAGTGAGAGAGGGAACACAAGGAGGGAGAGTGGGAGCGGGAGAAGCAGGCTTCCTGCGGAGCAGGGAGCCCAATGCAGGGCTCGATCCCAGGACCCTGGGATCATGACCTGAGTTGAAGGCAGATGCTTAACGACTGAGCCACCCAGGTGCCCAGAGAGAGACGTTTTTGAAATGGAAGCTGTGCTTCAGTTTGGGCTAGGTTGAAAAGCAATAGAATACCTATCTCCCACTTACATTTTTGCTAGGCAGCACCTGCTTACTTTTTCGTTCTCAGGCACTGCTGTCTGATAGAAATACAAGTCACATATATACTTTAAGGTGTTCTAGTAGCCACATTAAAAAAAAAAGTATGAAAAAACAGGAGAAGAAAGCAATTGTAATAATATATTTTATTTAACAAAATATCTTTTCAACATGTAATCAAATAAAAGTTAAGTAATTTACATTCTTTTTTTTACACTGTCTTCAAAATCTATGTATTTTACACTTACAGCCCATCTCAATTCATACCAGCCACATTGCAAGTGCTCAAATAGCCACACGTGGCCAGTAAGGTTACATAGGGAACAGTGGAGGTCTAGAACATTCCACTCTGGAGGGTGTTCCATGTGTGCGAAAACTCACATTTACTGGGGAGGAGATGTTTTGCTTTCCTGTTCTGTCTCCACATCCTACGGTCAGAAATTGGTTGGAGGCAGGAAAGGGATAGGGCAAATCATTTTAGAGTTTTCTAAGGAATATTTAGCAAGTCTTGTTATCATCCTGAGGTACTTTGGGACTGAAGGCAGTCCTTTGTCAAAAACAGACTTTCTTTGCGATGCATCAGAAGAATTCCCTGCATTCTGGGAAGTCTGATTTATGTCCTTACACGCTCATCACCTACGTGATAGGCCCGGCCCTGGCTCCCCGCACCGTTCCTCTGTGCTTTAGATTGAGAGGAATTCCCTGGCCCATACTATCTCTCCTATTGGGGGCTCCCTAAAGATAATTCATTCTGAAAGCATTTCCTTCTGTCTCTGGTCATCTGTAAAATGCCAAGGCTCTGCCTCTGAGGGAGTGTAACTGATAATAGCTTCTACCTCTCTGGTGTTGGGACTCTTCAAAGCAAGCTCAAAGACACTATCCTCACCTCAATTGTTAGGACTGGCCCTTTAATGAAGAATCCAGGTTTCTGAAAAATTCCAGTGATTCGGTGATTAGTCTCTGGCAAAGGTTTTTGAGTTTGAGAGCGCGTAGGAAATCTTCCAGAGTGTTTATTTCTGCTGGTGCCCTGGCCTCTTGCCCCGAGGGTCAGGCCTTGGGAGGAGCTTTCCTTTTCAAGAGGCACTCCAGATAATTCTGAGTCAGGTGGCTTGGCTCTCTACAGTTTAGAAATACTGCTGGCGGGGCGCCTGGGTGGCTCAGTTGGTTAAGCGACTGCCTTGGGCTCAGGTCATGATCCTGGAGTCCCGGGATCAAGTCCCTCATCGGGCTCCCTGCTCGGCAGGGAGTCTGCTTCTCCCTCTGACCCTCCTCCCTCTCATGCTCTCTGTCTCTCTCTCATTGTCTCTCTCGCAAATAAATAAAATCTTAAAAAAAAAAAAAAAGATACTGGTGGCTACTGGAACCCAGGTTCCTATACATGGAACACATTGCTGTGTCCTCAGCTGTCTCACATTAGGACGTAATACAATAAATCACTTGCATTTTCATTTGAAATTATGTTTCAAATCCTTTTTGCCCGTCATAGGGGTTCCCGTGGCAGCATGAAATTCTGGGTGTCTTTTGGGAAAAGGAGCTGCTGGACAGTCGTGTGTATGTGTGTGTGTGTGTTTTTTCAGATAACAAAAGGGAGGAATAGAAGCCAAATAAAAATCAAATATCCCCTAGGGCAATACTAGATGTGCCATTGACTTATCTTTCTTCCCTACCCTTGCTAGATTCTTTTTCTTTTGTCAGCTTTATTTTAATTAATAAGGCTCTCTTAAGATAAGTGAGAAAATACAGATAAGCTATAAGACAAGTTGCCATAGATCCATCTTTCAGAAATGTTCTTTTTCACAAAATGGATTCCTAAGATTAATTCTGTTTGTACCTGCCTTTTTTTTTTTTAAAGTATTTTATTTATTTATTCATCAGAGAGATAGAGAGCACAAGCAGGGGGAGGGGCAGAGGGAGAAGCAGGCTTCCCGCCGAGCAAGGAGCCGATACAGGCTCCATCCCAGGACCCTGGGATCATGACCTGAGCTGAAAGCAGACGCTTAACCGATGAGCTACCCAGGGGTCCCTGCACCTGCCTTTTTAAAAACTTTAATCTTGGGCGCCTGGGTGGCTCAGTTGGTTAAGCGACTGCCTTCGGCTCAGGTCATGATCCTGGAGTCGCGGGATCGAGTCCCGCATCGGGCTCCCTGCTCGGCAGGGAGTCTGCTTCTCCCTCTGACCCTCCTCCCTCTCATGCTCTCTGTCTCTCATTCTCTCTCTCGCAAATAAATAAAATCTTAAAAAAAAATTTTAATCTTATACTTCCCTGTAAACTTAAAAATGTCTTCATATTATTATTGTTGTTAATGATAGTTTCTTCTACCAAAGGAAAGGTATACCATACCTTTCTTCTACAGTATACCATAATTTGATCAACTCTTTATGTTGGAACTTTTAGGTGGTTTTTTTTTTAATAGACTTTATTTTTTTAGGGTAGTTTTAGGTTCACAGCAAAACCGAGAGGAAGGTACAGAAATATCCCATATACCCTCTGCCCCCACATATGCACAGCCTCCCCATTATCTACATCCTTCATCAGAGTGGTACATTTGTTATGATTGGTGAACCTACACTGACACATCATTATCACCCAAAGTCCTGAATTTACATTAGGATTCACACTTGGTGTCATCCGTGCTGTGGGTTTGAACACATATAACATGACATATATCCACTATTAAAATATCATACAATGTGGTTTCACTGCCCTCAAAATCCTCTGTGCTCCTCCTATTCATCCCTTCTTCCCCCAAACCCTAGCAGCCAGAATCATATACCATAGAACCTTTCAGATTTTTTTGTCCTTTTTCCTTTCCTTCCTTCCTTCCTTCCTTCCTTCCCTCCACCCTTCTTTCTTCTTTCTTCTTCTCCTCCTCCCCCTCCTCCTCTTCCTCCTCTTTCCTCTTCTTCTTCAACAAAGCTATGGTAAAGATTCTTTATATACATGTCTTTTGGGGAAGAGCTTGAATTTTTAATAAATAAAACATAAAAAGCAGAAACTAATACCCATTTCCCACTACCCCAAATTATTACTATTGATGTTTCAAGACATTATTTCCCAGCTTTTCCATGTGTTTTTAAAGTATACAAATATTTTTAAAGTATACAAATATTCTTCTTAAAAAAAAGAGAGATGAGACTGTTCTAAGTAAAATGAAAACTCCCTTTGGCGACTGTCTTCTAAATTGGTCCCTTCCTTTCTCTGGAGAGAAGTAACTATGATGAGTTTGGTGCACATTGTAATCCATTTTTATACATAATATACATACATCATATATGTATCAAAAACATTTAGTAAAATCTTATTTTTTTTACATAAACAGTATTGTTCTGCATATATCATTCTGTAGTTTGCTTTTTCTTTCAGTAATCTTTTTGATAATCTGTTCCTGTGTAGTTCTATAGAAATCTAACTCATTCTTTCATATTACAGTGTTACTATCTCTCTCTCTTTGTAAAGATTTTATTTATTTATTTATTTGAGAGAAAGAGAATGAGAGAGAGAGAGACCACATTGGAGGGGGAGGGTCAGAGGGAGAAGCAGACTCCCTGCTTAGCAGGGAGCCCGATGTGGGACTTGATCCCGGGACTCCAGGATCATGACCTGAGCCCAAGGTAGTCACTTAACCAACTGAGCCACCCAGGCGCCCCTACAATGTTACTATCTCTTATTTATCTGTTCCTTATGTATGGAAATTTAGGCTGCTCCTCTTTTTTGTGGGGGTTCTATTATGAATAGTAGGTGAACATGCATGTGCTTATTTCTCTCTCTTTGCAGATGTGTAGCTTCTCTAGGTTAGACACCAAAGGGAGAGTCACTGGTCGGAGTAAGCATAGTATTTTTTTTAATAGACAGTGTCAAATTTGTCTTCCAAAGTGAGTATACCAACAATACACATCTGGATTTTCAGAACCTTGACAATGCTTGACATTGGAAAAAATGTTAAGCTTTGACAGTGTCATGGATGAAATATAGCTTATTGTTTTCAGTCCAGTTTCTCAGATTAGTAGTGTAGTTAAGCATCTTCTCAATGTTTATTAAGTAAACATACACTTATGGACAATTATCTGATTATATTCTTAGGAAAAATTCCTATCTGATCAAAAACTGTATTTTAAGGCTTTCAGAAGATATTTTGAAATTTCCATCTAAAAATTTTGTAACTCTTTATATTCTTATTGAAACCATGATAAAATATTCATTTTCCACAATCTCACAAAACTGTACTACTCAATCTTTGCCAATCAGATAAGCAAAAAGTGTGCCTTGTTTTAATTTTTCGTTTCTTTGATTATTGGCAACATTTTTTTTAAAAAGTCATATCCACATTTTTAAAAATTCACATTCTTATTCATTCTTATTGTGAATTCTCATTCACATTTCTTCTTTTTTAGACTATGGTTTATAACTTTAGCCAACTTTTATATTGGGATATTCTTTTTCTTATCAACCCACTGTCATATAATTTACAAATTCTTCTCAGCTTGACATCTCTTTTAATTTTGTTTATGGTAATTTAGTTATATACACATATTTTTAAAATGTTAAGTGTTTAAGTATTAACATATTTCCATTATATTTTCTGCCTTCTCTTTTATTTTTGAATTATTTTTTTAAAAATACGGAACATTTGATGAATTTGCATATCCTCCTTGTGCAAGGACCATGCTAATCTTCTCTGTATTGTTCCAATTTTAGTATATGCTGCTGAAGCAAGCACTGCCTTCTCTTTTAAATAACTTATATTTCTTATCTCAAAATGCATGTGCGTTATGAAAATTCACTAAAATACAAATAAAAGAAGAAAGTAAAACCCATGTAATTTTACCACCTAGAGATAAGAATTATTAATATTTTGAAGTATATCCTTCCAGACTATTTCTATGAATATCTACTACACATAAATATTTTCCAGTAATTCTGCAGAGCATGTGACTCAGGAATAATGTTCTAGGCCAGTGGTTCTCCAACTTCAGCATACACCAGAATCACACCTGAAGCTGCTTGTTAAAATACAGATCGCTGGGTCCCACGCCCATAATTTAGTGAGGGGACCCAAGAATTTGCATTTCCGACAAGTTCCCAAGTGATGCAGATGCTGCTGGTCTGGGTACCATACTTTGAGAACCAGTTTTAGGTTCTCCCCGTCTAAACTATCACATTACAGTCACTTCCCTACTTAAACCCTTTTTATGGTTTCCTCCTGTCTGCAGGACAAAGTCCAGACTGCTTGGCAAGGCACACGGGTCTTTTATGATCTGGCCCTGAGCTGTTTCCTCTCCAGACTCACTCTTCACACTTGGCCTGGCTCTCCACCCCAGGAGGCTGACCTGCATGGACTATATCAACAGGTTCTGTGCTCTGCCTTGTGGGTCAGCTGACAGGATACTGGAGGGTGGGAAAGATAGCAATCATGGTAGTCCATCCCCTGCCCCACCTTGGGCTTCTTCCCTCCAAGGGTTGGCATTGGCTGCCTTCCTCCACCTCACGGCCAAATCAATTTGATTCTTTCCTGTAGCTATGGCTCTCACTAAGTTCTGCTCATTGCCTCCTCCACTCGACCTCAGGCTTAGGGACCGTAACAACTTCCTGCTCTTGTTGGTCTGAGGTGAGCTTCATCATTCCTTTTGGATTCTTTTACCTCTGTCCACACCTCTGTGGTCAATCTCTTCATCGCATTCTCTTTAATTACCCCTTTTTGGTCACTCCTTCTCTTTCCTGATGAGACTGGCTAATCCAGGCCCTCCTTTCCATTCTTACTTTTTTTTTTTTTTAAAGATTTACTTATTTATTTGAAAGAGAGCATGAGCTGGAGGGGCAGAGGGAAAGGGGGAAAATCTCAAGCACACTCCCCCCTGAGTGTGGACAGACACAGGGCTCGATCTCATGACCCTGAGATCACAACCTGAGCCAAAACCAGGAGTCGGAGGCTTAACCAACTGAGCCACCCAGGCACACCCCCTCCTTTCTATTCTTATTTCCCACAAACCTTTTTCTAGGCATGACTTGGTCACACATTTCCCAAATATAGTTGACCCTTGAACAACATGGCAGGGGTTGGGGCGCTGCCCCCTGAGCTGTTGAAAATCCATGCATAACTTTTGACTCCCCAAAACTTAACTACTAATAGCCTACTGAAACCTGATAACAAACAGTCAATAAATACATTTTATTTATGTTATATGTATTATATACTGTATTCTTACAATAAAGGTAGACAAAAGAAATGTTATTAAGAAAATCATAAGGAAAAGAAAGTACATTTACAGTTCTGTACTGTGCTTATTGGAAAACTCCAGGTATAAGAGGACCTCATACAGTTCAAACTAGTGTTGTTCAAGGGTCAACTGTACCATGTAGTTCACAATCTCTTGCTTTTCTCTTTGGCTGAAAAGTCCTTTTACTTTATGCAGAAAACTACTCCTCTGCCTTTAATCCATAGGTCAAATGTCATTGTCTTCATAAAGATTTCCCTTCTCTTCAAATTTACTCCATATTTCTGGGACTTTTTCATATACAGATATATTGAGGTATATTTCAGAAACTATAAAATTCACTCATTTAAAGCATACAGTTCAGTGGCTTCTAGAATATTCTGAGTTATGCAACCATCACCACAATCTGATTTCTGAACAGTTCATCATCCCTAAAAGAAACCCTGTATCCATTAGTGGTCACTCCCTTACTCCTCTCCGCCCCTGAGAGTGGCAAACCACGCATCTATTCTCTTTCTCTATGGTTTTACCTATTCTGGATATTTCACATAAACAGAACCGTACGCTATACTTTTGTGACTGACTTCTTTCACTTAGTATAATATTTTTTTTCTTTTAATTTTATTATGTTATGTTAGTCACCATACAATACATCATTGGTTTTTGATGTGGTGATCCACGATCCATTGTTTTCGTATAATACCCAGTGCTCCATGCAGTACGTGCCCTCCTTAATACCCATCACCGGGCTAACCAATCCCCCCTCCCCCCTCCCCTCTAAAACCCTGTTTGTTTCTCAGAGTCCCTAGTTTCTCGTGGTTCATCTCTCCCTCCAATTCCCCCCCACCTCATTTTTCCCTTCCTTCTCCTAGTGTCCTCTATGCTATTCCTTATGTTCCACAAATAAGTGAAACCATATGATAATTGACTTTCTCTGCTTGACTTATTTCACTTAGCATAATCTCCTCCAGTCCC